ACCCCACCGACCTGCCATCGGGTATCTTGCCTTACGTTAGCCTGGTTTGCCGAGTTGTTTCCCTATGTAGCTAAACGCGTCCGTGGACCTTTTACCGGCTCGGAATGTCGCGTGAATTTTGGTTGAGAGACTTATGGGGGACTCGAGATCTGTGTCAGGGTCCGTCGGGCGTTCCTACCGAAATGCGCCTGGCCTTTAGCAGCGTCGATGTGGCGTCACTCTCCACACTGGTGGATTATGTTTTGCGAAAGCAAACCCGCAACGCTAGGGTAAAAAATTGCAACTGCGACAATTTTCAGATGGATTTTGCGGTCGCAGTCTCAAATGTTACTGTAAGAATGTGGCCACCTATTCTTGAAGTTAAACTGAAGCTGTGCGGGGGGTGGTATCGATGGCAGGGATGGCAGATCGGGCGGGGCTGGTGGGACGGCAGGATGGCGGGTTCCTGATCATGATTGGGCTGCGTTTCCTCCCAGGCCTGCACGCTGCTGCTGCTGCTGCTACTGCTGCTGCTGCTAGTGCAGCTGCTAGTGCTGCTGTTGCTGCTAGTGCAGCTGCTAGTGCTGCTGTTGCTGCTAGTGCTGTAGCTGCTAGCGCTGCTGCTACTGCCGTCGCCGCTGCTGCTGCTGCTGTTGCTGATGCGGCAGTGTGGCATCCATCCTGGGAGGAGCGTATCGAGCTCTGCTTTCTGTCTCGTGAAGCCATCTGAGCCTCACTTTTATGTCGTCATCGACGGCCATCGCACGTCCCTCTCCATGTGCGTGTCCATCCCTCCTGTACTTGGAGCAAGGCTACCATCGTTGTGTGAGAGTGGTGAGGGTGCTTCTCGTGATCTGACCCACGGCCGACGCCATTACAGTGTCATCGGCAGTGGTGTTAGACTTGGTGTATACTTGGTGTAGACTTGGTGTAGACTTGGTGTATACTTGGTGTATACTTGGTGTATACTTGGTGTAGACTTGGTGTATACTTGGTGTAGACTTGGTGTAGACTTGGTGTAGACTTGGTGTATACTTGGTGTATACTTGGTGCAGACTTGGTGTAGACTTGGTGTAGACTTGGTGTAGACTTTGTGTATACTTGGTGTATACTTGGTGTTATACTTGGTGTAGACTTGGTGTATACTTGGTGCAGACTTGGTGTAGACTTGGTGTATACTTGGTGCAGACTTGGTGTATACTTGGTGTATACTTGTTGTTGACTTGGTGTTAGACTTGGTGTAGACTTGGTGTATACTTGGTGTATACTTGATGTAGACTTGGTGTATACTTGGTGGAGACTTGGTGTAGACTTGGTGTAGACTTGGTGTAGACTTGGTGTAGACTTGGTGTTAGACTTTTTGTATACTTGGTGTATACTTGGTGTATACTTGGTGTATACTTGGTGTAGACTTGGTGTATACTTGGTGTATACTTGGTGTATACTTGGTGTAGATT